TGTGCTCTCTTCTACCCCTGCCCTCCTGCCTTTTGGCATGGGATGATACTCAGACAGACCCTCAACCAGATGCAAGCCTTAACCTCGGACTTCCCAGCCTCCAGAACTATAAGAAATGAATCTCTTCTTTGTAAATTGCCCCGTGTTCAGTATTCTGCTACAACAAAAAGAATGAAGAAACTCTACCAGGTTTCCTGCCCCGACTGAGGCTCTTGTCCTCAGAAACACAGCCCAGCCGCAGTACTTAGAGTCAAGGTTATACAGTGCTGGGGTGTGGGGAGGGGCGTATGGAGGGATCCCCGATGTTCAGACTCCTTTTCTCAGAAGGTGAAAACAAAAGGAAAGCAACACTTGAAGAGCTTTCCGAAAAGACTGGGGAGACCAGTAAGGGAGCAGCACGCAGGCCCCTCTCAAGCTGCTCCCTCAAGTGTCAGTTCTGGTCGCCTCAGCTTTGACTAGGGCACCCGGAGCAGACAATTATGGTGGTGGTGCAGGGACCCAACATGCACATCAAGAGGTTACTGGCCTTTCAATTTATACACATCTTTACTAAGTATCTATATGCCTTGCTTAAGCCTCCCTCAATTGCATGGCCCGTGTCACAAAGCGGCAGTTCTCCAACAGAAGCTTCTCCCCTAAGAATTTTTACTATTGTATAAATAAAACAACACCGTTTGCTCACATAAAACACTCATTTTCCCTGCCTTCTTCAGAGCACTAATCTGAAAATACCCGAGTCTGTTTCCTGAATTAGAATCCCTACAACCCCAAAGTCCTTTTACTTTCGCAGATTGAGTTTGACCTAATGCACAGAAGTCTACTCTGTGATCGGAGGAGAACCACACTGTTCCATACTTAGGGCTTGCGGAGTAGTTCTTTTCCACCTGTTCTTTTACTTTCCACCTATCTCTGTCCTTATATTTAAAGTGCATCTTTGGTAAGTCTTTTTAAAAATTTTTAACTCGCTTTTGATTGAGTATAATTGACAAAAACCATATATTAAAGGTATAAATGTAAGCCGTTTGTCATAATTACACTGAACCAGATACCTAAAAATAGGAAGTTTTTGTTTGATAGAAGGGTGTAGCATTTATAAGGCTTAGAAAGTCCCCAAGGGTCATAAAATAAGAGTGTTTAATTTCACTGACATAAATTAAACGTCATTTTCTTTTTTCTCTCTCTCTCCTTTTTTTGGAGGTGGGGTAATGGGGATTGAACCTAAAGACTCTCTACCACTGAACTACATCCCCAGGCCTTGTTATTTTTTATTTTGAGTTCTCACTGAGTTGCCCGGACTGGCCTTGAATTTGCAAAATCCCTGCCTCAGTCTCCAGAGTAGCTGGGGTTATGGGAATATACCTCTGCTCCCAGCTAAGTATCTTCTTCAGCAGTGGGCAACCAGACTGTGGGTGAAGAGAGATCAGGGAACAGACTAGAAATTGAGATCTGAGGACATCCGCTCCTGCGATTACCGGATAACCTGTGTGTCCAACTAGGTGACCTGTATAAGGGCTTTTCCATCAGGAAGAGGGTTTGAGAGACAGAGACAGAGAGAGAGAGAGAGAGAGAGAGAGAGAGAGAGAGAGTGTATGTGTGTGTGTGTGTGTGTGTGCACGTCTGCCCTTGTACACATGTCCACCTGCCAGGCAGGTTTAGCTTGCGCAATGCCTGTTTCCCTAACAACAGAGCCAACGACAGTGAGGCCTCCTCCCAGGGGTACAATCTCTCCCTGTGGCTCTTCTTTCCTACCTACAAATGTTACCAAACCAACTAAAGGGGGGAACAAAGATCCAGAAAACCCTGCAAACACAGCCAAGACACAGCTTTTACTTTCCTAGTTCAGTAGTTTTTAACCCACACTGCCTCTTAGAGGAACATACCTGGGAGGATTGTTAGAATACCAGTGCTCAGGCCCTCCGCCCACAGGTAATTCTATTCCACTGACCTGACGGTAGAGCTAGGAATCTGTACTATTAAGGTGATTTCAGTTTGAGTCAGTATTTTTTAAAAGCTGCTTACGTATCTTGAATGTGTAATCAGACCCCTGTGCAGGCTGGGAGTATCCAAGAGGGAAACTAAGTAGAAAGGCACCTATTTATAGGCAGGTGTGTGTTATTCTGTCACATGACCGGTGACACCTGGCTGGCTGCTAAGGACAACTCCGATGGGATGGAATGTGACCAGGTGGTGTCAAGACTCATCAAAGTCACCCGGCCACTTGGGAATGGCATCTGACACTGCTGATACGGAGGCATGGGGAGAGAGAGACCATGGTTACAAAACACGCAACACGAGCCCTGCTTGCCCCTCAGCAAATAATTAGGCCTGAACTGCTACATTACTTGATATCTATCTCTAAGGTCAATGTGAATGAATAGGTCTCTTGGCTTGATTTCTTCCCCCAAAGCAAATGTTTCACTAATCTCCATTTTCCTCCTCAATCGGAGCCCATTGTCCAACATGTCTGAGCCACTCTATGAAAACAAGCCTGCATGTGGGTATAATGGAAATCAAACCAGTTCCGTGAAAAATAGAGTTTCTTGTTCAACCCTGTTTGCAAACGTTTACTCAACCAGCAGAGACAAAAAGCAGGGCTTTTCAACATACAGAAAGCTACCCATTATCCATTAGAGAGGTGCGGGGGAAGTCACAGGTTTCTGGCTTTAGGCAGGAAGTGTGAGTCTGAGGCTCACTTTGAAAATGGAAACTGCTCTTTTCTTCTTTGTTGCTCACAGTGACTAGAGCATGGTGTGAAGGTGCAGAACTAGACCTTTGAGAATGATTTTACTCAGGATGAAGAGGTTGGAAAGACAGAGAAGGTTTCCATTTAAAGGATAAGGATTATACAAAATACCTCCACCATTACACAATATGGGCATGCAAAGAAACCTCACACTGTACCCCACAAATATATACAATTATTATGTAGCCATTAGAAAGTTTTTTGGCAGCCCTGGGAATTAAACCCTTCACACTGAGCTATATCCCCAGCCCTTTTTCCAAATTTTTTCTTTGAGACAGGGTCTTGCTATATCACTCAATTGTCCAAGCTGGGTTCAAACTTGGGATTTTCCTTCCTCAGACCCCCAGAGTGCTGGGAATACAGGAGCACACCATTACATCCAGCAAAAACAAAATAAAACAAAATTGTAAAATAAAACATTTTCAGTCCCCTTGGCTACAGTAAATCCCATCCATTTGTATGATCCAGGATCCTCTTTCTGAATTCCTTCTCCAGATGGGAACTCCCTAGATTTCACTCATTAAAACCGAGGCCTCCTGCTTCTAGATATAAGGCCCCACCTGTCACCTCATCTCGGTAGCATCTGTCCCAATCCCTCCTTCCCTCACACCAGCTTGTCGGTTCCTGCAGAACCAGGAGTAGGCGTGTGAGAGAGGTTGTGTGCCTCAAGAGCAAACGTTACCCAAAGGCAAATGCACCATTCCTGCGCCATTTTTCTCTAGACATTTCATCACAGCAGCGCTTGGGGTGGGAGGTTGCAGCACAGAGGGGGATAGGAGGATTATGCAATGAGCTTGCGACTGCTAAAGCCCAAAACAGGATTCCTTTGCTCCTTATAAACAGCAGCAGAAGACCACAGCTGCCTTCTTCTGGCCATTTGATAAGACCATTTGAAGATGTATAAACATTGCTTCACCGATCTTCCATACACTTTCAATGAGCAAAATTATTTAAACACCATCAGGAAACAAAGTCTGACGGATCAGCTGTGATCCCGGGATGCCAGAGTAGACAGTGGGAGACAAGAGGGTGTGGAAGAGAACACTCTACCTCTTCTGGACCCTGACATGGGGTTGGCTTTGTGAAATGGACTCGGAAGTAAACAGACTTAGGGCTCCGCTAGGATAAGGGACAATAGTCTTAGCATATTGCAGGGCCTTGGATTTTAATCAAGAAGCAAAAGCAGTGAGATTCTTATGTGTGTATATATATATACAAAGAGATGTTTTCTAGGGAACTGGTACCTGCAATTATAGCGCCTGACAAGTCTGAAGATCTTCAGGGCAAGTTGGCAAGGCGGGGACCAGGCAGAGCTGCCGAAGGCCTGAGAACCAGGAATGCTGGTGGCATAAGTTTCAGGTCAGAGGTTGGTGAGCTTGAGGCCCGGGGAGAGCAGATGCTTCAGTTCAAGTCCAAAGGCAGGAAAAGGAGTCAATTTCAAATGCAACCATGCGAAAGAAATTTCCTCCTACTCAGGGGAGGGCAAGCCTTTTGTTTCTATGCAGGTGTTTCCCCATCTTCTTCGTGCAATCTGCTTTGCTCATCTCCCAGTTTAAATGTTAATGTCATCCAAGAAGCACCCTCAAGGAAACACTGAAAAGAATGTTTAACCAGCTATCTAGGTACCCTGTGGCCCAGTCAAATAGGCACATAAAATTAATCATCATAATGGGTTAATAGGCAACAATGAAGCCTGTAATGCCAGCAGTCTGGGAGGCAGAGGCAGGAGGATTGCAAATTCAAGCTCAGCCTGGATAAATTAGTGACTTGGTGAGACCTTGTCTCAAAAATAAAAAATAGATAGGGCTGGGGATGTAATTCAGTGTGAAGGGCCTGAGTTCAATCCCTAGGGCCATCAAAAAGAAAAAAAAACTAAAGCAACAAAAGCAAAACAAAAAATTTAAGCAACAGTGTGGACTGGAAAAACCACCATTTCTGGAGCCTAACAGCCCAAGGTCAAGTTGCAGCTTTTTTCCTTGCGAGTTATGTAATTTTTGGATCTCTCTGGGGCTGCCTCGGTTGCTCTTCAGTAAAACAAAGATAACAAAAGTCTCACGTAACAGGTACCAAAGTATTAGTTGTTTTGGATACAACTGCATTTGCCCTTTGCTTTTAATGTGTATTATTATTTTGAACAAAAAGGAGGGTTAGCCATAGAAAATGTAGCAGAGAAAGGGAGGCATTCATCACAAGAAAGAAGTATAATTGTCGAGAGAGTTATATACACCGTATTAACACAGTGTTCCTCTTAAATCAGTAAACCAGGGTCTGTGGGCCTTGAGAAGATGTCAGAACCACTAGACTACGCGGCTGTTCCCCTCCCTCTTCATGTCCCAGGAGGCTGCAGACCCACATCCGTCTTGGAGCCCATGTTCCACACACCACCCAGGAGTGCTGAAAGGTAGTAGAACTTATTGCATTTGGGATCTGCTCCCATCATCCGACAAAAACAGCTAGATATTTTCCCATTAAGAAGTCAAATTAGAAAACCTCTCCCATGGTGGGTTTGAGCTTTCAAGGCACAGTCATGGCTGAAAGATAGCCTGTTGGTCCAATCTGACACCTCATTGCAGTATCGGTCCCTCTTCCAAAGTCCTGTTCCAGCATGTGGGTGGTGTTAGCAGTGTCCTGGAACCAAAGACTCACATAAGTGTTACAGAAAACCTAGATGGTACAGCAAGAAATTCAATGGCTGGACTGGCCAGAAGACACTTCTGGGGGCCAGCATAATGGCTTGCCCAGAGTGTGAGATCGGGTTTGGCAAGCCCTAAGCAGCTGGTTGCCAAATCCCTCTGCCCATTCTCCCCCTGGTGTATTTCAAAGGAAATGAAATCCACATGTTTCTGATCTGCTGAGACCTAAAGCTCATCCAAAGGTGGTTTTGCAAGACTGGTTTGGACACAAGGAACTTAGAGGAACTTAATTATTATTATTTTTCATTTTGAAATGGAGACCTGTACGCTTACATAATACATGCCATCCCTACAAAATTGAAGCCCAGTTTCACCTTACCAAAACTCTTGGTCGTGTGCCCACCAAGACAGATGATTGAAGTCAACTAGAAAAGAGAAAACAGTTGACTTTAACATCCAACCTAGAAGTCCATCTTGAAAACCATACTTTTCATTGCCCCTTTTGATGGGGATGCTAAAGCTAGCTTTTAACAACATGGGTAATATATGGATTGGGCCTGTGAATGTCATTATTTCCCTAGGCTCTGGCCAAAGGGTTGAAAACCTAAATTCGAAGTGGTGTCCATCTTGGATGGATGGGATCAGAGGCTGAAGGATGTGAGCCCAGGTCCAAGGATATGTGGCCCAGTTCCTGGTGGGCAAGAGGCCATCACAAAGGTGTTCTGTTGAATAATCCTGAAACATTCTGAAGGGAACATCCCCCTTATCTCTGAAGGGAACTGAGACAAGTGGTAACCTAATTTCTGTTTCAAGGAAGTAAGGATCACATGATGCGGTTAGAAATAATTAGCACTGTGGGATGTGACTCCTGACCGCTTCACGCCTAGCCGCATGAACACTATTGGCCAAAGAGACCAAGAATCAAAGGATCCTCCCCTCTGAATCAAGGATGCACATTCATGGTTTCTCCTACCGCTGTGACCCTGTTAGGGCACCAGATGTGGCTTTTCCTTAACATGCCCTCTCCCTCCTTCTCCTTCTCTTCCTACTCCTTCTCTTCTTCCTCCTCCTCCTCTACTTCCCCTGCTGCTCTGAGTTCTCCTGACAGAAGCAGTGGCTTTCTTCTGGGAAGCTGCACCACCCTCATTTCCCAACCCTGGACCATGCTCACTCAAAAGTTCCCAGGTTACTCTCTACCACCCTCGCTTGGGCTCTGGTTCGTGGTAAGTATGCTTCAGACTTTTGATGACTAAGATCACAAAAAAGTGGGAAACCACCACAGCTTCTTGGGTTGACTCCCCTTGACCTTGTTCCCCCTCCTGCTATCTTGTATTGTTCCTGGGAGTGTATGCAGGGCCTTACGCATGCCAGGCAAGCCCTCTACCTTTGAGCTATACCCCCAACCTTCCTTCTGCCTCTTAATTACAGGTAGCCCTCGCTCTTCCGGTCTCCACCATCCTCTTCCCAGGGCCTCACACTGGAGAGGTGAGAAGTCAGTACCAAGTAGCCGGCCACTTTCTCCCCTCCAACCTGAGCCAGACTGTGCCTTGAAGATGACTCTGTTTTGTCAACTGTACAAAGTAAGACTAATTAGGGTGTTATTCAGACACTCTGAAAGCAGCACCCACTTGGGCAGATTCACTAGACCAGCTGAAATAAAGTCCCCCAGACGGAATGGTTAAACAGACATTTATCATCCCACAATTCCGGAAGTTGAAAGCTGAGGTCCAAGGGTTAGCAGGTATTGTTCCTCCTCAGGGCTTGTCTTAGATATTTTTTGTCTTAGTTATAGTTTTGTCTTGTTTTTGTTAGTTTTATTGTCTTAGTTATATGTTCTCTTAGTTATTTTTCTCTCATTGCTGAGACAAAATGCCCAACACCCAAAGTTAAAGGAGAAAAGTTTTATTTAGCTCACAGTTTATAGAGGTTACAGTCCATAATTGGCTGGCTCCAAGGCAGGGTGACATGGCAGAGGGAGAAACAGTTTATGGTGGTGGAAGACAGCAAAAGCAACAGGAGCAAAAAGGGGTCAGGGGCAACAAGGCTCTTTCTGCCCCTTTATTTTATCCAGACTGCTGAGATTAGGGCGGTGCCTGTCCAATCAGTGGATTGATCCAGCACTCACCCACCCTTAATCCCAGCATTGCACAATGAATCAATCACAAACTCTAGATTAAGTTGCATCGGAAAAAGCCTCATCTAAAAGTGCATGAGGCTTTGTGGGGACATCTAGACAGAATCTGTTCCAAGCCTCTCCCCTCCTCTGGGGGTTGCTGGTGAAATTTGGTGTCTCTTGTCTTGTTAATGTTTCACCCCAGTCTCTGTCTTCATCTCATTCTTCCTTCCTCTGTCCAAATTTCCTCTTTTCCTTTGGACATTGGTCATACCCGATAGGGGCCTAGCCTCATGGCTGCTGCATAACTGAATCATCAGCAAAGACCCTATTCCCAAATAAAATCACCCTCACAGATCCTGGGGGTTAGGACTTCAACATCTTTTGGGAAGACACAATTCGATCTGTAATAGCTCTCCTCTGGGTATAGAAAAAGGAAAAAAAAAAAAAAAGGCAATTTAAAATTGACATTGAAATGCAATAACCAGACGGACATGGCGACACATGCGTCTAATCCCAGCACTCAGGAGGCTGAGGCAGGAGGATCACTCTGAGTTCAAGGTCAATCTGGGCTACAAAGTAAGTTCAAGGCCAGCCTGAACTGCATAGTGAAAACCTTGTCTTAAAAAGACCAAAAAAAAAGAAAAAGCAAAAAGAAAAGAAATGCAATTACCTCTTAGTGTATTGTCCAAATTGGGGCATTTTTTTGAGAATGAGACAGCGCTATTAAAAATTTGACCACGTGTCAAGCGGGGTGTCCCAGGCAAGCCATCAGGACACACAGCCACTGCATGCAGCTGGGCTCCTTCCCCAGCCTTTCCCAGGCAGGGATGCATTTTTACCTTTGCTGCTAATCCCTCTTTGTTTGTGTTCTCCAGCAAGTCCAGTCTGTTTTATACACATTCGCAGCGAGACTGGGGATTAGCTATATTCTGGCTGTGGTTAATTCACTGTTTCTAGTTAACTCAGGTCCAATCTTAGCAATTAATTTGGCCAGATCAAGTTACGTCCTCTTTACACCTGTTCCCCTGCTTAATTAGGTTCCGATCTCCCAGGGATAGCTGGAGACACCAAGGACCATTGCCTAAGCCTTGGATTAGAAGGAGTATGTCAGACACTCAGCTGTGGTCGTAATACCCAGGCGACATGCCGGAGACAGCCCCAGCCCTTCCGTCTAGAAATGTGTCCTGACAACTACAATCCCTCCCAGGCTGGAGGGGTAAGGATCCCCTTTCTCGATCCCCTTTTTCATTAGTGACTTCTTTTCATCTCTTCCCAAGGGATGGAAATGCTCCCAGTGAGGCTTCTTTCTGAGGTAACTGTTGGACAGGAGTCAGCCAGTTAAGGCTGCCCATCTAATTAGCAGAATCTGTTATGATTTATCAGGATAATGAGCTAGGGAACAAAGACATCACTTCCCACCCCCACCCCCACCCCCGATATTTTGGCCGCTCTTCTTCCTTTTGGAAGATGACCCAATGGTTAATAAGAAAGGAGTCACTTATTGTTGGGGTGCAAATAGAAAGATAAATGACATCAGTAATTAAGCCTCAGGCTCCCTTGGGTATAATGGAGCCATTTGCCAGGCAATATTATTCAATTAATTAATTCCATTAGGGCTACCACACTTCCCCAAATCCAGTCATTCAGCTGTCAGCTCTGATAATTTGTATGACACGAAACTAGACCGGTGAATCAATGCATCCTGAGACAAAAAAAAGGAAGCATTTCTACTTCCCCAGGAAACCGAGCTAGAAGCCTTTGATGTGTGAATGTGTGAAGTCTTCAGGGCCAGCCAAGGACCTCTCCTGGCGTGGTTCAGAACTGTCGTCCCGGAGCCCAAATGTGACAGGCTTGGTTCCCAGCCTGTGGTATTACTGAGAGATGATGGAACTTTTGTAGGGGTGGGGGGGTGCTGCAAAGAGGAAGTGGGGTACCTGGGGATGAGTCCTTGAAGGGGATATGGAGACCTTGGCCCTGTCCTCCCTCTCTTTGCTTCCTAGCCTCCAGTGGGTGGACAGGACTCCTTTGCCACACATCCCCACCATGATGTCTTAGTTACTTTCTTGTTGCTGAGGCTAAATACCCAACACCCACAAGTTAAAGGAGGAAATTTATTTTGGCTCACAGTTTGTAGAGGTTTCAGTCCCTACTTGGCTGGTTCCAAGGCAGGGTGGCATGGCAGAGAAGAAAGCTAGCCAGTTGGCTGGCTCTGGTACAGGACAGGCAAGAAGGCAGCAAAGCAGCAGCAGCAGCAGCAGCAGCAATCCTCCCTTTCCCTCTTATCCCATCTAGGCTACAAGCTTATTGGTTGGTGCCACCCACACACATGGTGGGCCTTGCCATTATCTATACCTAGAACTATGCTAAACCAATCAGTGGAGTAATTTAGTTACCAAAACCCTTAATCCATATGCACACACCCTTAATCCACATTCACACCCCCTGGATCCAGCCACCTCCAAAAAGCCCCACCTATAAGTGCATAAGGCTTTGGGGGAACCATCTAGATAGAAGCATTGAATTTTTTTCTCTCTTCTTCACAGACAGAGTAAACCTGGACAATTCCCTTTTGCCTGCAAATTGGCCTTTCTCCGCCTGTGAATAGACCACCTCTTTCCACTGTAATATGTTCTTTCTCCATCCTCAAGGAAGCGACAGTATCAGTGGGCAGCTGATCACAACCTCAAGTTCGCTTAAATGGTTTGCACTCTGAGATGACAGTAAGAATACACACTCTAGATTATCTACTCACTCTACCACTGAGCTAAATCCCCAGCCCCTTTTAAAATTTTAGGTAGAGGTTTAATGAGAGATCTAAGTTGTCCAGGCTGGTCTCGAACTTGTGATCCTTCTGTTTTAGCCTCTCAGTAGCTGGGATTAAGGCACGTGCCATCGTCCCCTACCAGCCACCTTCTTGCACCATCTCGGTGGTCACTAGCTAGTACTTTGGTCAGCTGAACCCACTTGATTAGGGAGAGGAGAAGGACTAAGTGACATGGACGAGGACTGTCTAAGGGCTCTGGATGGGCAGATACAGCAGAAGGGAAGGTGCTGGAAGAGCAGCTCCCCTGACCATGTCGTCATGCTTGTCTGCTAGCTTTCTTCTCTGTCAGCAATGTCAGAGGTGAAGCCTGCCCCTGCCTTGCATCACTCATAACTCAAATTCTCTCAGTCCCATCTGCGCTTGTGCTAATAGACACACCCATATTCTCTTTAACTCTCCTACTCTCTTCTCCTTTTCAGCTCCTGCCAACTTGTCTCAGAATTTTTTGTGTCCTTTCTAGTGGTAAATCTGCCTTCAAACAAAAGGATGGTAATCATCCAGAACCACATTTCAGAAAAGTTTACTTAGCCTGGTGTAGTGGTGCACACCTGTAATCCCAGCACTCAGGAGACTGAGGCAGACTCATCACTGTGAGTTCAAGGCCAGGCTGAACTACATAGGGAGATCCTGTTTTTAAAAAAATCAAGCAAGTTCTTTCTTTCGATTAAAGAAATCAGAATCACAACAATCTGAAGACCAGAAATTCCTTCAGAATCTCAACAAGTCCCCATATGCCATCTGTCTCTCTGTCCATCTCCAAATCAACATTTCCTTTGACTACACAATTAGCCGGAATAAAATACTGTCTCTATTTTGTATTTATTGTTTTACTCTGCTTTAATTAGTTACTAATACTCTGGGAGCATTGAGACCTGTTCTTTTTCATTGTGACACAGCAGTATTTCAGCTAAATTCACGATTGTGTGCCGGCGTGGGAACCAATCTACCATTCCTAGGAAAACAGCTCACCTTCCAAAGAGCTGACTTCCAAAGTCCAGAACATGATCTATTTATAACCTGGGTGGCTACCTACACTGTTTCAGCCCCTCTTCCTCCTCCCCTCCCAGCTAATCAAGGAATCTGTTGTGTCCTGGGCCCGTTCTGTGGATGAGAATTGAATCCACAGCGAAGGCCTGAAGTCTGCAAGCCAGGGTGAGAGGAAGGCTCAGGGTAGAAGTTCTCAAACCTGGGCCAGCTCAGAATGCTTTGGAAGACCTGTCTGAACAGACGGCTGAAGATCTGGGGAGGGACCCAAGACTTGACATTTTTAACCTCCTTCCTAGTGGAAAAGTTTTCTTTAGAAAAAGATGGTCTCATCTAGATGGGAATCACTGGCCTAGACCATATAGTTCCAAGAGGTTTGAGAGCCACCTAGATTTCCAGAAACCTGAGCATTCAGCCACATATCCTGGCTGCCCCAAAGCCCACCATCCCTGGCATGGGTCGTGATAGAACCAAAGCTACCCCTCACCCTCACCCCCAGCTTTACCTGCAGGCAAAGACCAAGCTCTAGAGTGCGATTCACAATTTCTGAGCATTGCTTGCAGCTTATATTTAGAATTAGATCTAGAAATAGTACAGATGATCATGGGATGTGGGGAGTGCTGAATGATTATGAAAATGTTTTGTTTGGTCTAGCTTTCTGTTTCCTGTTAATATCTCACACATCCAAAGATGTTCCTCAGGCTCAACAAGACTTAGGGACCCTTTCCTATTGCTTTTGTGGGAGTCTCAGACAGTCATAAGCCCATTAGAGTTGGATGGGGGTGTGACAGTTCTAACTCTAAATACCGTGATTCCAGTGGTCTGCTGGTCCAGCATTTTCCAATTTTTTCTGTGAATCCCATTGACAAAGAATTCCATCCAAATTCGTGACTTGATTCTCATGTCTCACGTTAGTGTCTTAGCTGGGATTTCCCCTCAGAAGGCAGCAACAAGGGCGTTGTAAAGGAAGGTGATTTTGGACATGGATCCCAGCAGGCAGGAGTTGGGAACAGAAGGAAGGGAGCAGGGATAGAAGAGGAGATGGTAGTGAGGGGCTCCATCTTGTCTTCTAGGGTGACCTTCTATGAGGCTGTCAGAATTTCCAACACAAGGAAAGGCAAAGGGAGCATTCACCTCTGACTCTCATTCCTCTTTATTTTTATTTATATATTTTTTCTCATTCCTTTTTAGTAAGGAGTTGCTTCACAGGGAGTCACCATTTGTGACTCCTGCACAAAGCTATTTGCCCAGCAATGACTGGCATTGAAGCTAAGCCAGAAGGTGAGAGTTTCACACAAAAGATATCCAATGTGGTTTACTAAGGAAAAGAGGAAAATGGGATTAAACAATATTTATACTTGACTGATGAATATTCTACATTTTCATGGTAGCTATAATCTTTTAAGAGTGAACATATTTAAAAATTTAATCAAATGTGAGGATTAATACCGAGTTTCTGGAGTGTGTCTAAAACCCATAAACAGTACAACAGACCTACACACCCATTTCTAGAAACTTCTACCTTTTTTGTGCTCACAAGCCCTAAGAAACAGTGACTGTCCCATACATTTCATGACCGTATCAAGGCCACCAGATAGGACAAAGTCAGTGAGAGCTATTTTGTGTCAGCTGTTCACTGTTCTGATTACAATGCAGGTTGAAATTAACTAGGAGTTAGGGCTCCAGAAATTGCTTTTCTGACCTCATGTCTGAAGCACTTATATTTTGTGCTTAAAATATCAAATAACTGCTATTTGTATTCAGCTCCATACACCCATTTGTTCTCTATAAATGAAAGTGAAATTAGACATAATTGTCACTATCTTTTTTTTTTTTTTTTGTAGCACTGGTGTCCAGTGGTTTCTTCAAGGGACAGATTTTGAGGAAAACCACCTTAAGTAAAGTGAAGATTATCATAAGGCTACTTACTGAACTATCAGTGTGAATTCCAATATCTGAGTAGCTGATCCTTCTGGTCTTCAAGAAGTGATCTGTTCAGAATACAAACTAAGAATCATATGGCTAAGAATAAGGGCCACTTGAAATTGTACATCAAGTGCTCAGAACTTTTGCGGCTCAGCTCACATATAAAATGACTGAGGTCAAGTCTGAGCCTGCACAGCTGAGGGGCCTTCCTGTAGCACATGCAAAGGAGATACTCACTGGGGCTCTGGCAAGTTCTCAAAGAGTAAGGTATTCAAATATTTTCTAAAAACCCTTTATCATTAACATTTTCAAAAACGTGCGCAACTTCAGAGACTAGGGGAATGGGCCTGGAACATATCACCCAGCTCAGAGAACTATCACGGCCAGTTTTAAATAATTTCTTTTATTTTAAAAAATTTAAACAAGCATCGTTCTTGCTCCGAAAGACAGGAAACCCGGGAAGATTTTCCTGACCCCCTGAGGGTTTATGACCTGCTAGCTCTTTGGTTCACTGACCTTGTTCAATTCTCTTTTTATACAAGGGAATGCTATCTGTTCCCATTCTCTCTGGCTATTTCTCATGCTTGCAGCAAATTAAGTGGACTCTATGATTTTAGCAACGGTGACATATAATCCCAGTGTTAAAGGATGGAATTTTCCAATGCAAGAAGCACAGAAAACACAGAGGAAGCAATGCCATGAGCAAACGCTCCTCAACACAGTACCTCCAGCTGTGCTGCAGAGCAGCCCAGCGTTTGCATGAGACATGAAAAAAGCCAATCTGACAATCGAGTGATTGTTCTCTCTCCACAAGCAATCCTGCTATTTCTAACCCCTTGGTGGGCTGTGCTGGCAACACACGGACATAGCCTAGGTCTTCCTACAGAGGCTGGGAGCCCAGAGGCAAAGGGGAAAGAGCCTGTTGTTTTCCAAGAGACCGCGATCTGTGACTGCAGTAACTAGAACATCGTCTCACAGAACAGACAGAGGTGAGCAGGCCAGCCTCTCACCTGGTCTCATTTGTCCCAGACAACCCCAAGCCAGCGAAATGGATCAGCTTCTTGCTGTTTGTCCAACGACTTGCCTACTACTCTAGAAAAACAACACAGACCTGCCAAGAATCTGCAGTCCACTGAATCTTAAAATAATGACTAGTCTATCCAGTGTTTCCATCCAGGGAATTGTTGGTTCCTATACAAGAAAACCCTTTGGGGTGAGATGGAGGAGTCCAAGAACGGCATGTGGTTATTTTTGCCACTTACTGGCCCCTGTCTGCACTTTTTTTTTTTTTTTAAAAAAAAGAAGCAATCTATTTTTGACATTAGCTGTTCAGCTTTCAAATAGCATCAGCCCATAAAGCATATCTAATTGAAATGTTGATTCCAAGTCTTACTTAAAGACTTTTTGGCCTTCTTTTCTCCTGCTCCAAGCACACACACACACACACACACACACAATACACACACGCACACACACACATGCATGCACACACAGGCACACACAGTCCCACACTTGCATTCTATTTCTTGGCATATCTGAACCAAATTTTTAGGATAGGTTAAGGAATTAACACCTTTCCTTCCATATGACAACTTCCACCTTTTTTGAAGAAATAATAGAAGCGATCATATTAAAAGTTTGATTGCTTGATTCAGATAATGCTTCTAGTACCAGAAAAGGAAACAAACAAACAGAATGTCTTAATTTTGGGGGGCTGGGGATTTAGCTCAGTGGCATAGCGCCTGCCTAGCAAGAACGAGGTCGTGAGTTCGATTCCCAGTACCAGAAAAAAAAAAAACAGATAATGCTTCTAAGACTGACTGTGTCATTCAGTCCTATTCTTCCTTTAAAAAGGAATTATATGCTCCTGAGATAATAAGAAAAAATGAAATGCAAAAAGCTAGGGAGGAAGGAATCACATAGTGGCTTTAAAATGATACAGCATGTGAGTCATTGCACACCAACCTTGAGGCTGAATACAGGGATCACACACAAAGTTCACCAAAGCTTTATTAAAACTAATGTAAGAGCGGG